TCAAGATGACATGGAAAAAGAGAAGAAATCCTAGATATATAGAGAGATTTTCTAGATAATAGACACTTATTCCTTTAAATGTCAAAACACTTGAAGAATACTAATCATTTGTGAGTAGAAATCACCCAAAATAGTTTTTTGTCTTCCTAGTTTAAAGGAGGATACTTCACACTTCTGCAACTCTTTGAACCTCTCTAGTATTGTTAAAAGAGCATCTTCATGATCGGCCCATATATTTAGCATTGTGTCAGGTTATGGGCTCCATTAAATTCCTAACAAATAGAAATATGCCCTAAGAGGGACCAGCAGTTAGCATAATGGCTATGTCGCTGGACTCCCATGTAGTCAACCGCAGTTCAAGTCCTGGACCCGGTGGCTTAAACTTATGCCAGGCGCGTGTGTGTGCGGGCCCAAGATCATGAGAAGAGAACGGAGGAGAAGGGATTGCAGCGTGGCCATCCCCCCCCGGGGGTGATTTCTCGCTTTCTGTCTCTCTCTGTCTTTCTGATGAGCACACGCGCCCTAAAGCAAAAATTCTCAAAAAAAAAAAAAATTAAAAAAAGAAATATGCCCTAAGAAGGAAGATTAGGATAGGGAAAGGATCTGAAAATAAAATCAAGTGGGCCCTGATGCTTGGCAGTGTTATTCTATTGGGTCATCAGAAAAGTCATAGCACATTTTTGCACAGAAAAAAAAATCATGATTTTTCTGACAACCCAATACTTCCCTTGTCCAGTTCCTCTTCTCTTTGGTGAAGAATTGACAACGCAAGTTCTGCTGCCTGTTTTTGTAAATAAAGTGACTTCTTATTTTTATGAGAAGTAGAAGCCTTCAGGAAATAATCTCCATCCCAGCCTGGTGGTTCAGTTGCTAACAAACTGAACTGCAGTGCTAGAAACCATATGGCCAAATATCGGTTTGGATCCCTGGGTCAGCTTAAAAACAAGGGGCTTGTGTGTGTGTGTGTGTGTGTCCATCCATCCTCAGGAGCTAGAGGGCCAGAGATAGGGGATTGCACCATGAAGTGACTGTCGAAGGGGCTTCTATTCCTCACACCTCCTCTCGTGCACTCTATCGTGAATAAAAACTTTTCTAAGAAAAGAAAGATTCTCCACATGTTCCTACCACCAAACATGCCAATCTACCTGCATGTGTATCGCCACGCCCCACTTCCCTCCTGTTCCAGTAGTCGAAAAACTCATTCACATTTCTATCTGAGGGTAGATCTTTATCCTGTCTTTACCACTCAAGAATGTTACTTTTGAGGGTACCCCATCTCCCTCCTGCATCATCAGACTTCCCTCTCTACTGAGTGATTTCTAATGCAGATAAACACATGGGAGTACCCCTCACCTAAGACCAGCAAGCAAGCCAGCAGAGCTCCCTTCACCATCTCTCTTCCTGTCACAAAACTCCTCCTCTAAAGAGTTGTTTCCCATTGTCTGTTGAACCACAGTAATGAAGCTTTTTGTCCCAGCCACCTCATAAAGAAACTGCTCTATTCAAATTCACCAAGTCCTTTTATCCTTTTTTTTTTTTTCTGAGAGGTTTTTGTTGCTATAGGGCACATGCACTCACCAGAAAGATAGAGAGAGACAGAGAGAGACAGAAAGTGAGAAATCACCACCCCGGGGGATGGCCACAATGCAATCCCTTCTCCTCCATTGTGGATGGCCACGCCTCAATCCCTTCTCCATTCTCCTCTCAGGATCCTGGGCATGCACACACACGTGCCCAGCGTGAGTTTAAGCCACCAGGTCTTGGACTCGAACCACAGTCGACTGCATGGTAGTCCAGCGACATAGCCATTAAGCCAATGGCTGGCCCCCACCAAGTCCTTTTATCATACTCAGTGTCGGTTATTTTGAACCCATCTTACCTTACATTTCAGTAGCATTTCATGATTTTTTGCTCTGTCTTCTTCAAAACGTCTTCACTGCTCTCCAGATTCTTCCCTTGGGTCCCTAGTGTCTAAGCACTGGATTCAGTTCCTAGATTTACATCACTCCATTGTTAACCTCATTCACTTCCAGAGGGATGCCATTGGCACTACAGTGACACCCCAATTTAGATCTGACTTCTCCCTGAACCTCCAGGGCCAACCTAGCAACTCTACTTGGATGTATAGTAGGCATCTTCCCTCCCAGACCTCTTGTCTCCATTTTTCCAGTCTCAGTAAATGACATTTCCATCCTTCCGGGTGGTCTGGCCAAATATTTTGTAGGCTTTTCCCAAAACAACCAAGCTTCTGGCTCTACCTTTAAAATATACCCAGAGGGGCCAGCAAGTGGCAGGGTAGTTAAGGGCGCTGAACTCCCACATGGCCGACCATGGTTCAAGTCCCAGACCTGGTGGCTTACTTTCTCATTTTCCCTTTCTCT